CACTAAGATATGTAAGAAAAAATGCACTCAAATTTAAATAAACATCCCCACTTGTTTCCTTCCTCTAAGTCATGAGTACATTTTAACGTTTAATTCTCTTTATGAACTTGTCTCTTTCCCCTTACTTTCTGTCATTGCAACTTTTATTAGTGTTTTTCTCCCCCCCCTGACTTGATTCTTGTTGATTTCACTGCTTTTTACTGATACTTACTGCGGTAAATTGATTCAGTTAACAGTAACACCCGACTGTTCATAAGCCAAGAACTGCAATTTGGGGAAATGGTGATTGTAGGTCAAAGAAAGACAGCATAACAATAAGATCTCCTTATAGAACAATTAACTTACACTATGACAACTGAGCTGTATGACATATCCAATTCATGTCTCACTTTTGGCTATATATTCCCGTTGTCTTGCTAGTTTGAAATCTGCCTAATTATCCAGAGGTTGGTAGTAAGAATCTTACCAACAGTCAAGTTTTCTCCAGCTCCATTCATTGTCCTAGTTCATCAACAAAAGTTAATATCAGACAATATTTTGGTTAATTTTCTACTGTTTCATCTTGTCTACACACACCTGTTCAATGACCTTGGTTAAATGTTAATTCTCTTTTTACTCCGGTACCTTATCAAACTCCCAGAGAAGAGAGACCTAAGTCTTTGCAAGAACTGGCACGGAATCACGCTCCTGTCCACACAAAGCAAAATATTAAGCCGCATCATCCTGGAGAGACTAAAGGATGTGTTGGATTCAAAACGACGACCGGAACAGACTGGCTGGATTCAGGAAGTACAAATCATGTGTGGACCAAATTGCAACGCTACGCATCATTATAGAACAGAGTATAGAATGGCAGTCAACTCAACTTTATCGACTTTGAAAAGGCCTTTGTCAGAGTCGACCGACAGGTAGGCAGGTAGCTGCTTCAACACCACGGTTTTCGTGCCATAAACTATGGTCAACCTCATTCAACGGCTGTATGACGACGGAATATGCCAAGTGATCCACAATGGGAAGTTCAGCGACGCCTTTGAAGTGAAGACAGGAGTAAGACAAGGCTGTCTACTATCACCCATGATATTCCTGATTGTGGTCGACTGAATCATGCAGCAAACCGTGAGGAGCTGCTGTTCAACCGATGAGAAGACCCTAGAAGATCTGGATTTCGCCGATGACTTGTGTCTGATGTCGCACAAACTCGAAGATCTACAGACGAAAACTAACAAGTTGACAAAAGAGGCGAGGCTGCGAAGACGTGACTTCAAGTGAATATAGAGAAGATAGAGGTGATGAAGATACCCAACCACTGCCAACAACAAGCACTAATCACCATTAACGGAAGAAACCTAAAGGAAGTAGTCTCTTTCATCTACCTGGCTAGGCAGCATCGTTTCAACTACAGGCGGCACAGACGAGGATGTCAAAACCAGGATCGGAAAAACAGCAAGACAGGTTTTCATTAATCCAAAATCAGTGTGGAGATCTACTGCACTCAGCATGTGGAACAACATCCGGATTTTCAACACCAACGTCAAGTCAGTGTTCCTGTATGGCTCAGAGACTTGGCGTGTTACGAAAAGCATTTCCAACAAACTACAGACATTCATCAACAACTGCCACCTACGCTAGCTCACTCGATACTGAAGATCAGATGAGAAGGCCAGAAAGAATAAGCAAGAAGGAAGTTTGGCTGACTGGCAACGAACCAACCAAGAACCTATCACTCAACAAATATGCATTGGAGGGAAGTAGAGATGGATTGGGCATACACTGAGAATGCCGACTGGGGACATCACGCGCCAGATCAGGCCCTCGAGTGGAACCCCGATGGGAAACGACGAGTTGGGCGTCCGAGGGGAGGGTGACATGGAGGAGGTCATATGAGGAAGAAATGAGAGCTTGTGGGTAGTTGTGGTACCAGGTTCAAATGATTTCAGAGAACAGAGCGCATTGGAGACGTGCTACTGAATCCTTATGTTCCATTAGGGACCTAAGGGACAAATATTAATAATAATAATAATAAGCAAATTTCTTATTCCAAAATCTAATTATAAGAGATCAATATTTTAAATATTTGTCAAATTTTAATTGAGCATTTACATTCATAGATTCAATTTCATAACTACCATTTATAATTTAATATTATTTTTTTGTTTTGTTGTTTTTATTGTGTGCGCCTTTTCAAATTTCCATATTTGCCATCAATTTTCAAGTGTATTTATTGCATACCGCATTATGATACTAACTGTACACTGATTGAAATTTTAATCTGTTAGTCTTCTTCATTTTGACACTAAGACATTTAAATTCTATTAGCCGACTATTACTACAATTGACAAACATCCTGGCAAAATGGCAATATCACTTCATCATTTTTGTTTCATCTAATCATGAATTGATCTTTAGTTCATAGTTATTTGCTTATTTTTAGGTTGATGACTTTTTTTACCGGTTATCTTCCCAGTTAAGTATCATGAAGGGATTTTTATTATTCATACTGTGGTAATTAATCGAATGAATTCTGGATACAAGTGACTGATTGGACTCTATAAGATAGTCATATTCAACAAAGGGTAATTATAAACGTAAATGATTGAATTTTGTATAAATCCTGGATGTCAGAAGCATATGAGTCACCTATGTGAGAGGTACTGGTTTGGTATTCTTTTTGCTAACAGAAACCCAACTACTAAGTACACGTCAACTTCCTTTTAACTATTAAGTATTTTTCTAGATTGTCATTTGAATAAAGGTTACTCAATTATTACTATTACAATAATATTCAGGTAATATCGAGGCATTCGCATAGGAGTGCAGTACACCAAGGGAGAAGAATTACAAGTATATCAACAAATTGTCAATAACTAACACCCGTTGCAAAAAAAGGCGCCTATCGTGCCTCAGTAGCTTAGTGGGTAGTGCTTTGCTGTTTGGAAAGATGGTTACTGGGTTCGCGTCTCAGTGGGAACAACACTATTCATTGGGGTGCAGGTTCATGTGACTAACAACTGCCAAACAGGATGAAACATATGTCCTATATTCCTCTGCTAGCCCTAACCATGAAAATTATTATTTCTTTGTTATACTAAGTAACGAACCATTTCTATAATAAACCGATGTGAATTCAAAAGGGGGGAGATCAATTGACCGATGGCTGATGAAAGTATTTCAAACTGCCGGATTAGTTAAACTGTAAAACGATGACTAAGGCGTTTCTGGCAGTAATTCTGTAACCACCCTAGTCTTCATAAAAATCCAAGAATCCTTCACCTGAATCAAAAACAGTTACCCTTCTTTCCAGTATTTGTACCATTTGTAACTAGAAATTGTCTTTGTCATTTATGATGGGAATTTTATACTTGTTAATTAATAACGATGCTTTAACGATCCACTTTTCCATCAGTTTGCATAACTGCAAGGAGGCGTTGACTACACATTATCAGCTTATTGTGCAATTCAAGCGAAAATTATCTTCTTGTTCTAAAAACCAGTTGTTTTTTCAGTCATTTAACCTGCTCTATGAAATTCAAAATCAACTTCTTGAGGAAATATCTTAAGGTAATATAGATCATTTGACTATCTGAGATTGCCGTAGTTTGGTAGACTAGTATTAATACTGGGTGACGACTGAAGGTGAAATGAAAATTTGGACCACGGCTGGATTTGATCAAGAAGCCAGAGCTACTAGGTAGCTCAGTTGGTCGAGCATCAGACCAAAAACCCGGTGGTCGCTGGTTTGAATCCGGCCATGGTCCAGGTTTTCATTTCACCTTCAATCAACATCCAGTAACACAAATCATTGTTAGCACAACCTTCATCAACAAGTGAAGTCGTAGTATCTACCAAAAAGCAGTTCCCTTCCATAACACCTATATACTATCACTCTTAATCTCCTTCAGTATATGATAGATCTTTTGGTTCAAAATGCTCATCTAACAGAGTATCACTCTATTCTACAGAAAAACTGGTATATCTGAATAGTGTACACTTGAATGTTGGGGAAATATGTTCACAACACATACAGTTCAGTGTGTTTTCATCACTTGCCTTCGAGTACTTCACAGGCAAGCCGAGGATATCTTCATTCTCTCTTTCCAGACAAACAATTATCAATTAGAAAATAACAATTTAAAAATCAAAAGGTGTATTTCATCTGGAAATAAAGTTTTGCTTTGTTTTATATGTTTTCAACTGTTTATTTTCTGATTACAGTAACTGTCCTATATTCTTAATATTTACAAAAAGTAAGTCAATTTAAAATTAATAATAGTAGTAATATCATTAATAACAGTAATGACAATACTGAATGATTAATTGTTGTATTGATTAAGGAGATTTCGACAGTTATTCACTACTGTCGTCAGTCGTTTACCACCTCAATCACTCACCCCTACATTAGACTTGTAATGCATAAAAGATACACAAAACAATGGAATTAATGTGTGAAACCACGGAGAGAAACGTAAGCATGAGAAAATTAGGATTAATGACCAAAAAAGAAAGAACGTGTGTGTGTGTGTGTGTTGGTGATGATGATGATAATTACTATTTATAGTGAATAAATTATACTTCATTTTAAAGAAGAGTCGACTGGTCATTAATGCTGAATTTTGTTTGCTTAATGATTGATTATTGCATTGAAATATTATTGAACTATTTATTGTAGGAGAAATAATTCTTGTCGGTTTCTTCTTTCAGTACCATATTCATTGAGTTATCGTGTTGGCATAGTATGCATAGAGTTATACAGAGGATGATAAAGTGAATGATGTTGATGATGATGCTGTGATTCCGTATTGTATGCATCATGCAATCGTATGTCTGACCAGACAGTTGTCGATGTGTATAAATCATCTTGAACAGACTGTTTACTGTTATTATTACTATTAATGGTACTATGGTTATTGTCAGTGGTAGGAATGACAGAAACACCAGTTATCCCATCATTCAGCATTAATCTACGTGATATATTATTACGGCTATCATGAATAGTTGTATGATCATAATTTTAACAGTATTATTGTTAATAAAGGCAGAAGAGGAAGAGGAGGATACTGATAAAGAAGAATTGGTTGATTGTAGAAATGGACTGTTGTTATTTCTTCTTGTCTGCTCGATACTTGTATCTGTATACTTTCTTCTTGACCCATTGAATATTTCAATTGGGGTGGCCATATAGAATCGAATGCAGAAACTGATATTGCTGTCGTCATCGTCGTTGTGTTTGTCTCGGATATTGTACTATTATGACTGTTAACTCCTGTAACGAAAGGTATTCTACTGTGACTACTAATATCATCAGTAGTAGTAATAATGGTGGTAGTATTAACATCATTAATACCTCCTTGAGTGTAGTTGTTCATAGATAAATTATCACCAGAGGTTAGCATTGAACCAGCTATTGAAACTTGATCATAAATATCACTATAATTCATTTTAGTTGTAAAAATTCTTTCGGATTTAGTATATTTGTAAGAGATATTCTATCATGATTAGTGTTCATATTCATGACTCCAATAGTTTCCGAATTATAACTCTTCGGATTGAATGGTGTTGGTGATAATAAATGCATAGTATTCTGAAAATGGCATAAATGCGTATAAAATGGATTCGGTGCTGTTATTGTTGTTGTTGGTAGTGTTGGTGGTGGTGGTGGTGGTGTTACTGCCACATCTGGAGTTGTTGTTGTTGTTGTTGTTGTAATTGTTGTAGCGATTGGTGTTAAAGCAGACAATGACAATGGGATATTATCTCCAGACAAGCGATGAGTACACTTTAAATTTGATGAAGAAGAGTTCATAACACCTGACATTGGTACTGGATTAGTTGGATATGTTCTACTCGGTGTATTAAATCCATGAATATATGGTGATACTTGTAAATTATCTTGAAAATAATGTGGAAGTTGTCTATTTTGATGACAATATGGTCCAAATGGAATTGTATCATATTTCATAACAGATGGTGTAGTTATCATATCTGTCCAACCTAAAAATAAACAATCATTATATAAAAGGAACTATCATCGCTATTATCATTATTATTACTATTATTATTATTGTAAGATCAGTGGGGATTATATGTTTAAGTAGCCTTCATCAAGAACTGACATTAGTTGATGAAACTATTGAAAACCAGCCATTTCGTCGAAGTATGAAAATAGGTATTGAATGACTGACAATGGTGACTAGAAAGCCGTACTTGTTTTGTGTTTTACAGCCTTCGCCACCCATTGAAAAGGTCTATCCTCAATATAGAGCAGACTCATATGCGTTCCTAGCTCAGTAGTAACGTCTATGACTGCATCACTAGGTGATGTTGGTAGGTACTAATCACATAGACAATATGAGTTTTCTTCAGGCTACAAATGTATTTTAACAATCAGCACTATATCAGAAGCAGGAAATATGCACCATTGGATTTTGACCCAGTGGCTGTTTGCAGAACCTAAACGTCCTGGGTTTGATCCCTGGTAGGGTCATGGGTGCGCACTGCTAAGGAGTTCCATACTGGGACAAAACAGCTGTCCAGCGTTTTCAGGTTTCTAATATTTCTCCAAATGATCTCAGTTCATAATGAATTCCAACCTAAAATCAATCAATGAGTCTTCACAAACCTCCAGATTGAATCACTTAAAACAAGTATAAGATATCCATCTGGTACAGTTTCCTGACATATTCGTCCAACCATCTAGCACTAAATATGATACACTTTACCTAGATTATTTAGAACAGTGACAAATTGAATTCAACCAGTACTAGTGATTGAATAGTGAGGAAATGGTTACTTTCCACACATTGAGTGGATTATCTTAATAAATTACTCCTCAATACACTCTAGGTTCATATAGTTTTTTTTGCTTTCAACAGAGTCTAGACTTTGTTTAGTAATGATGGGCAGTGGTTAGCAGTGGAATTCAGGATGCGCATTTCGTCTTATTTGGGACTCGTCAGAGTCTAGACTTTTTCAAGGAATTGAAGTTATCCGACAACTAGTATGTTGATTCAAATTTAATTGTGAAAACAATAGAGATAGATAACTTACTTGACTGGGGGTTGTTAGGCAGTAAATTGCATCCAGACATATTTGCTAGTTTATATTCAGATGAAGAAACTTCACTATTATCCAAGTTAACAGCTAGTCGTTTCTTACCAATTTTATCTCTAAATTCATCTAAATGATTTTCAATAGAATGATTTAAATGATGCGTTGTCATTTGTGGTGTATTATTTTCAAATACATTCTGACTTGTAATATCTTGACTTTTGTTGAATGTGTTCAATTGGTTCAATGTTGAATTTATTTTGTTATACTGTTCATTTAATAAACCCTCAAATGTGGCATTTAAATTTGGTTGCATCTGATTAATTAATCCCGTATTTGAAGTAGGATAAGGTGGGATTAGAGGACAGTGGTGAATTTCTCCAGGTTTCTTTGTATTCGTTAAAGTACTGTCATTGTAGGATTCATTTTTATGATATTGGATTCTAAGTGAATCGGGTTTCATGGCAGACTTATTGTGTTTACCATTTTTATCAGATGAATAGCTTCTGAAATAGCTATGGTTGGTAGAATCTTTCAATGTAGAATGATTTCTGTCTTGATTTGAAGACAGTTCCATTATATTTAAATCTTCTTCAGATTCAGTCATTTCGTCTTCATCATCATCGTCATCACAGTTCTTATTATCATCTCCAACTCTTCGTTCATCATCACATCTTCCTTCGTTAACATTTTGATCATCATCTGCATCATCATCGACATCATCCTCTTCTTCATCATCATCTTCATCAATGTGCTCTTCACCTCGATGTTTAGGTGTCCAAGTCATTTTATTCTCCTTCTTTAGACGTCTTCTTGCGTTTGCAAACCATGTGGAAACTTGTGTTAAAGTCATTTTTGTAATAATAGCAAGCATAATTTTTTCTCCTTTAGTAGGATAAGGATTTTTTATATGTTCCTGTAGCCAAGCTTTCAGAGTTGTTGTACTTTCTTTGGTGGCATTTCTTCGTCTTGTAGTATTAGTGAACTCCGTTGAATATCTAGAACATGAGATATACATATTAAAATTTAACTCTCTTAAAATATTCCCAATGAATAAACCTAAGGTAGTTACAAATTATTTTCAGCATAACTATGTATACTCATTTACTATATCATTTTACATAAGGCATTCCAAAAATGTGCACTTCAGATTATTGGACAACTCATCTATCACTTTCTAAATGAACATTTCTTGCCAGCAGTTCTCAAAAACAAGAAATTTATTACAATCTAAGGGAATTTCCAGGGAAAACTATGTAGATAGGTTGACCGGCTTATACGTAATACTTACACACACCAATGGTTTCCAGAAAATCTCATGACAATACAAATCCTTTCACTACGTAAACTCTTTTCAGGATTGATAAGTAAGTGAATATTAAATACGAAGAATCTGCGATAATAAATCAAGCCGATTATTGAGAAACATACCCCCTAACTGCAGTCCATGGTGCTTTAGGTATATCTACGTCTGAAAGATGTTAAACTTCAACTAAGCTGTTAAATGGTAACGCGCTGATCGGGAAGATAGAATTTTCTAAGCTGGACCTTAAATGGGGTGATGAATGAGGATTCGAATAAAATACGTGTCCGTTACTCCATGGTTTCAATGCTTCTACAACTGATTTTCATCCACGATGATAACTGCTGCTGGAATGATTCAATACCCAGTAAACCTCCGAAATCCGAACATTTGCTTCGTTTACGTGATCAGCCTGAGATCTGTTAAGTAACTCACCTGCCTGAAAAGGTGAATGAAATATAAGTATTTCAAATAAGCTGAGGTAAATAGTAGATGCCACTAGGGTGCAGGAAGCCTTTCGTCCCGTGTGGGACTCGTCAACTACATGTATCTAGCTCATGGTGTACAGTATTTTATATTGAAGCTTAAAATCCCCACTTGTTGCTTTGAACGTAGGAGTGCCAACAATTTATGAATCACTTTGATCCAAACTAATCAACAAGGGGACATAAAATCTGACTTTCTCCTGTAGGAACCACTTCAAATAATAACTGGATATATTTTAAATTAATTAAGAGAATAATATACTGATACTGTGAGCTATGCCAATAGACTTTAGTTAGAGTACTTTATAGATGAGACTAATGTTAGTACAATGTCATGTATTACTAATATGAATTCAGATTCTTACCATACAGCAAGCGTTAAAAATACATAAAGTCTAGAGTCAGGTCATTAATAATTTAGTAATATGATGTCTTGACTGTGCAAACAAGACTAAATTCACCTCCACATGGAGTCATGTAACCTAACTACAGTAACCTAACCAAAGTTAAGCAAGGTGTAGGTGACAGATGGAAAGAAACCATTACTTGGCAGGTAAAGGTTCACTAGATTCAGTCCAGTAAAGAATGGATATATCTGTACTACTCAATCTAATCTTGAAGGGTCACTCAAAATCTCTAAAGCACTAACTTCATCCAGAATATACAGTCTCCTAGAATCTGCGTTATATTTATCAACCGCTTATATGTATTCGGTTATCAGTGATCCAATCGTGATCATGTTAAACTTTTAATGAGTCACTGATCAATTTATAGATATTAAAACAAAGTTGGGATTTGATAGTTTGAAAAATTGTTAGCATTAGGCAAATGATATTCATTATTTGTATCTTCCAATAACTGTAAGACAAAATACGTTTCTTTTCAACTGACATTTAGCTATTTAATGCTTACAACATTATCAAAGTTATAGGTAACCGGAATTCACAATATCCAAGCTTATATATGATAACTTACTTCATATATGTTCTTCTGTATGAACGATTCTGCGTTGTCGAATCATTGAATAAAGATGACATGCATATATAGTGTATTATATGTGAAGAGTGTATGAATTACATGTACACATGAAGTGATAGTTCTTATTTATCTCATCTAAAGTCTAGATTACTTAGCATCAAGGTCAGTTCAGAAACAGAAACACAATGGTGAACTTCCCTTCCTTGATTATCTAGTTAAGCGGAAAGAAAATGGACATTTAATGATAACCATTTTCAGGAAAGTAACTCATTCAAACAAATATTCAAATTTCTGTTCATCATATCCAATCAGTATGAAGGTTCTTATTGCCTTCAGTCTTTTAGAGAGAGTACACGCTCTAGTAACGAATGATGATGAAAGAGTTAAAGAACTAAAATATATGAACAAGATACTTAAAACGAATAATTATCCAGTGAAATTCATTCGTAAAATAGAAAACAATATTAAATTAGTTCATAAAACTACTCTTAAATCATGGGTCTCAAGAATATTTACCCTTACAGATCATATACATTGGATGAAATTAAGAGAGTGCTCAACAAATCTAATATCAGAATGTTCTACAGAACATCAAACATATTGCACAACAATTTATTCCATCTGAAAGAAATGGTCTCTCTAGATTCATAATCTATTTGTGTTTATAAAATAAAATGCTCAAACTTTCTGTGAAATCAAAATTAGAAATATGAACACCAAACATCATTCACTGGACTCCTTAGAAGTTTAAAAGGGCTTAAAAAACCTGAAAACACTTCAGCTATAGCTCTACACGCTATAATCTCAGGTCATAAAGTTGATTTTGACAATGTTGAAAGTATTCAGAAAGGCTTTAAAAATTATGAAGAATGTCTCATAACAAAATCTCTTCAACCTATCCCTCATATACCAATATAACCAACATACATCGCATAAAAACTAACACTTCATGTGTACATGCAATTCATACACTCTTCACATATAATACACTATATATGCATGTCATCTTTATTCAGTGATTCGACAACGCAGAATCGTTCATACAGAAGAACATATATGAAGTAAGTTATCATATATAAGCTTGGATATTGTGAATTCCGGTTCCCTATAACTTTGATAAAGTTGTTAGCACTAAATAGCTAAGTGTCAGTTGAAAAGAAATGTATGTTGTCTTACATGCATTTAGAAATACAAATAGCAAAGTAATTAATCACTGACCAAATATTCATAGCCTTATATTTTCGACTGAATAAGTTTATTTTTTACATTTTCTCTATGCTTCGAAGTTTCTTTAGCGGTTAGACTGGTTTTATGGGGTAGGGTTGCTAGCTCTATGCCCAACCTTCCCTGTTTGAGAGACTTGGAGCGTTACAAAAAACACTTCCAAAAAACTGCAGACATACATCACATCAACAACTGCCGCCTACACTCGATCACTCGATACTGAAGATCGGATGGCCAGAATTATAAGAATAAGCAACGAGGAACTTACTCTGGCAACAAACCAACGAAAAACCCATCACCCAACAAATATACAGAAGAAGGTAGAGATGGGTTGGAATGGACATACACTGAGAAGACGGTTTGAGGATATCACTCATCAGGTCAGGCAGTCGAGTGGGACCCAAATGGGAAACGACGAGTTGGCCGTTCGACGGTTACATGGAGGAGATCATGTGGAGAAGAAATGAAAGCTTCTAGGCAGTCGTAGGGCCAGGTTGAGCCAGACTGCAGAGAAGAGTGAAATGGCTATGTGCTACTGAAGCCCTATTTTCCACTAGGAACCCAAGGGACAAATAATAATATAATATATTTTCAAGTGGTGAAAACCAGTTGAAGAATGTATCTCCACTGGATATCAGTAGCAGCATTCAACTTTATTGAGTACATTGACCAAATGCATTGAATTTGTCCCAACATCACTTAACAAGTATTGATATCTAGTCAAAGGCAAATAATATAAATAATCTCCGATGTGTTGTCATTTTTTTCGAAAACAATAAGCCTTTCGTATTATGTGATCGGTACTTAAGTTGACTTGTAATCTTACCCGTTTATAATCTATTCCCTATAGAAAATTTGTTAAATGTGACATATTCTTAAGTATTTTAGAAAAGAAGAAATCCCGTTTACTTTTCTTTCGCTATAAAAATTGACAATTACTTCCGTAATTTTTACAAAATAGAACACGGAATACTCATCATTATCTTGTTAATTGATTAGTCATAAACTACTAATCTGTGTATACTGTACAGTACGTAATTAAGATATTTAGACTAAATCCAAGTGATAAGAAAATACGCCTAAGTAATATGATTAGTTATATACTGCACATACTAGTTCAAAAATGTTTCATTAGAAGAGAGGCTGCTTCGCTACTTCAGCATCGAACTCTTCAGTTGAATTCTTCAAACACAAGACAGAAAGTATAATATGTATATCTAACGAGAAAATTTATGGTTACAGCTATGCCTCAGCATCGTATTCTCATAAACCTATTTGGAATAGAGTCCAAGAACCATCACGTCAGTGATAACCAAGTACCTATTCATCAGTCACTTGGTTTCATTCCACTAATTCGTATTTATCGAATTCGGTCATACCAGTTGACTTGCCTAGCCCAGTGACTACATTTCAAAAGTATCGATCGAATCCAATCAACCCTAAGAACTGCAAACATGATATTGGTTACTCTCCAGTAACCTAGGTCAAGCAGGACTTCCTGTTGATTGCTTCCAATCATCCAACAAAAACAGCTATCTGATGCTCGCTTGCTTTTACTAGTTCTCTAACTGATGTGAACTGGTGATGAAAACTGCCCTGAGAACACAGCTAGGTTAACTTTTGTGAACAGGATTTGAGCTTTTATCAAATGTTTCGACAAAATAATTCAAAATTCAATCACATCTAGTTGCTACTTGTTCTTTGTTTCACAATAACAATGAACTTAATAAGTAATCTTACTAACATTCATTGGGAGGTGAAGTAATTTACCCTTACCTAGTGTAAACCTACGAAAGATAGTTACTGTAGATGGAAAAAATGTGAAAAAGTAATCTTTTTCTTACTAGTGACCTTGTAACACTTTGTGTGTGGTCGAACCAGAGAATTAACAGCGCTACAGTTCAACAGAAAGTGTTAGACAACCAGAATCCAGATGATTGAAATAAAATAATTAGATTAGGCATAATCTTTATATGTAACTTAAAGATACTATTAACAGCAGAAAATT